GTTAATGTTTTTGCAGACAAATGGACAAAAAGTAAGACGGACGGACGACGGAGAAAATGTAATCAAAAATATTATTATCTAAATTTGATGTTTTAGACTTGAAATTAAAAAGTCTAATTATAGCTTTCTATACACATTACATTAGACATTCATATGATGCATTCATTTACAGCAAAATTTTAAATTTAAAGCATCTGGATATAATTTTTTTTTCATTTTCTTTGAAAAAATACAAAAACATTTATATGAAATAATTAAGAACTAATATTGGTCTTTCAATGTTGAAACCATTGTTTAAAAAGGATGACTCAGAGAATTAAAACATAGTTAATCAAAGATTACAGAGCTCACCTCAACGAATGTAGTCTTTAAGTAAGGCAAAGACAAACAATTAACCAACAAAAAGTGCAAGATGTATGCAATTTTGATTTGATACTTTTGAATTTGCCTATATAAAAACTTCAAACAAGTACTTCATCATGAAAACGTTGTTAAAATCCTGCATCTGAAGCAAGTTTGAGAGTTTTCATCCCTTGATGCATCATTTGTGCAAGTTTGGTTTATATAACCCTTATAGTTTCTTGGTAATAGACCTGCACCCATAACTTTTAACATGTCCATTATCTGGAAAATGTATGTCGAATTCAGCATCTGAACATTAGTGTGCATCCTAAGATGTATCATCCATGCAAGTTTGCTCAACATAGAGCTCAAAGTTATTTCGAAATGAAACCTGCATAAAAAATAACCTTTTCACTAATTCAGAAAATGCAGGTCAGATTCAGCATCTGAAGCCAGCCTGGTAAAATCCCCCCTTAGATGTACAGTTTATAATCCATGCAAGTTTGGTTATTAAAGAGATCGAAGTTACTTGGAAATGAACCCTGCAACATAAACTATAACCTGTTCACTCAGCCGGAAAATGTAGTTCAGATTCAGCATCCGAAGCAAGTCAGTAGTATGATTCCTAAGAGGTAACATCCATGCAAGTTTAGTAATTATAGGGCTCATAGTTACTAGGAAATGAAACCTTCACCAAAAACTTTAACATGTTCACTCAACCGGAAAATGTAGGTCAGATTCAGAATCCGAATCAAGTCTGGTAGTATGCATCCTAAGATGTAACATCCATGCAAAGTTGGTCATTATTGGGCTCATAGTATCATTGAAATGAAAACTGCACCAAAGACTTTGACCTGTATACTCAACCGGAAAATGTAGATCAAATTCAGTATCCGAAGCAAGTCTGGTAGTATGCTTCATTAGATGTTACATCCATGCAAGTTTGGTCATTATTGGGCTCATAATATCTTTGAAACGAAAACTGCACCAAAAGAATTAATCTGTTCACTCAACCGGAAAATGTAGGTCAGATTCAGCATCGGAATCAAGTATGGTAGTATGCATCCTAAGATGTAACATCTATGCAAGTTTGGTCATTATTGGACTCACAGTACCTTTGAAATGAAAACTGCACCAAAAACTTTAACCTGTTCACTCAACCGGAAAATGTAGATCAAATTCAGCATCCGAAGCAAGTCTGGTAGTATGCATCCTTAGCTGCACCATCCATGCAAGTTTGGTCACTATAGTATTCATAGTTACTTGGAAATGAGAGTGTCTGCAAAATTGTGATAGGTAACACTGTTATAACTTTAGAAATCTGTCTCGAAGTGGGGAACCCCCGTTTGTTTACAACTTTTGTTTCTTACCTTGTGTATTTTTATTATACCGAATAGGGCGATTCTTTTAACGTGAGAAAAAAGTACAATCTGCTTGCATATAACTACATATAGATGTGTTTGACGGGGAAATTTTATATTTTCGAGGTATTATACATTCTTACATTTTTTTGTCATTAAAAAGGGGGGGGGGGCTATTATCCATACTTCATGTGCCTGTGATCAATAAAGGACATAGAAGTACCTTAAAAGAAAATTGCTCCAAAAAACTCACATGTAACCTCAACCCGAGACGCCGACGCCGAAAGTATTACATAAGCTCCCCCAACTTCGTTGAGGTGACCTAAAAATAAAAAAGTTGGTGTGGCATTCCTCCTTAATAACTGCACTCTGAATAAAGGGCATTAACTCTAGTTCACTTCAATTTGGTCTATATATTTTGTATACACAATAGAAACAACAATTGAAAGATTTTCAAAAGTAAGTGACAACAAAATGAATATAATATACACTATAAAATTAAATACGGTGATCAATTGAAATGAAAATTAAGTATGAGAAGATGAAATAATAAAATAGTGGCAGTCTTATTCAAATCTACTCTCTATAAAGTGAGCAGGTATAAGAGATTGAGATATTCTCTAATCAGTACCAAAATTTTCAGTATACATAGACTGATATTCACTATGACAGACAGACTGACATGTAATCTATAGCTACCCTTACTGTTGTCAAACACCTACTATATGCACATTCTCCTACAGCTACTAAAGGAAGCTCTATCAACATCTGTTCAGTCCAGTCAGCAGTTGCCAAATAATGTTATAACAAATGTATCATGCAGTGCAATGCAAAGGTGTTAGAATAAGAATCTGAATACTAAAACTATGTGTTTAATTATAATACTATATATCAATTACCAATACAATAAGGACAGGGCACAAATGTTTTGTTTTCATTTTTCATAAATTATACATGTCTATAGATCGAGTAGATAATAATACAAAACAGACATACACACGATTGTACAAACAGTTCTAGACATTCGAATCGCTATCAGTAGTATAAGGATCCCCGATAGCCCGGAAGTGACGTCATAACCGGAAGTGGTCTAGCGGAAGCGGAAGTGGGCCCCTAGCGGAAGCGGAAGTGGGCGGAAGTGGTCTAGCGGAAGTGGGCCCTAGCGGAAGTGGTCTAGGCAGAAATGTCCTAGCCGGAAGCAGGCTGGATGACCGGGTCAACTGAGTGCAGTGCTAACCCTAACCCCCTATCCCTAACTAGCCCTAACTAACCCTAACCCCCTAACCCTAACCCTAAATAACCCTAACCCCTAACCCTAACTAACCCTATCCCCTAGCCCCCTAACCCTAACCCTAACCCTAACCCTAACTAACCCTAACCCCCTAACTAACCCTAACCTATTCCCTTAAATACTGGAGTTGTTTACACAGTGTTTTTACATTGGTACGTAGGTACTACGTTTTGTTTATGCTGACTATACAGGTAAATGCGCCGTGTGCAAAAACATTTCAAGAATGTGATTATGACGTCACGCTTCACAGTCTAGACAGTCCTATAACCGGTTTGAACTGGTTTTACTGAAAGACAAGAACAACCTGGATTTTTACTGAAAACAAAACACAAACAAGACAGATTTTGATTTTTATTCAATTTTTATTCACAATGAAAAAAAAAATACATACAACAATTTACCAGGCTGTCTTTTAATCTAAAATACCCTCCAAATTAATCATCTAGTAGTTTTCTCCAATACACTGCGCTGTTGCATTCTTTTTGATCTGCAGTTTTGCGCGTACCCTCGATTTTTTAATGTCCTGCGTTTTTGTTTGAGTTTCTGCACTTCCTCCTTTGTCATTCCCTGCAAACGCCGATTGAGCTCTCGCACGGGGAGCATCACCAATTCCTCATCCTCCAAAGGCTCGAATTTTTTGTTAATGTTGTTCCTTTTCGGTGCTTTAAGGCCAGTCTTTATTTTCACGGCCACTTTGTCTTCCACCGGCATATTGGACGATACAGAACTGAAATTGGTGTCTGTGCTTGCATTGCTGAGAGAGCGTTTAAATTTTACATTTTCTTCCTGCACTTGTATGGTCAGGGGTAGTTTCCTTTTGGTTTCCCGAGGTTTTTTCTCTATGTCTTTTACCAATACATAACATAGATCCATCTGTTTCTTACTCTCTCCTGATCTGCCCTGGGTCCCTTCTTCTTTTTTCTGGTCAGTGTTTTCTCCTTCTTCTCTCATTTTTGTCTCTTTCCCCATGAATGACTTTATGATTGGTGATAATAAGTCACTAATGTAACAAAATCCAGTGCTGATGTAACATTTCAATTTATCCAGCTTTTTGTCATGATCACTTGCCTTCTCAACAATATAATTCAGCTTGTTGTCATGATGACACACCTTCTCAGCAATATAATTCAGCTTTTTGTCAAGATCACTCACCTTGCTGTTCATATCATTCATCTTGTTATCCAGAGCAGATAGCATGTTCATAATTCCGTCCAAAGTGGTATTTAAAATGCTCATATCTTCTTTATTCATGTCCTCATGAAAATTTCATGTCCAAATTCAAATCCAATTCCACTGCATCCTTTATTATCTCTGTCATGGGAGCTCCTACATATCCTTCAGGTGTCACATAATACTGGGAATTTTCTGAAGTATTCATCATTGCTTTCTTTTTTTTCACCTGTGTTCCTTGCTCACGCAGAATGATTATCAATTTTTTTTACAGTTTTTTGCTTTATATACCTGGTGTGGGGGCCGTGTGCACCTTTTTACCTAGGCTTTATATACCTGTTCCATCATCTATAAAGGAGCCGTGTGCAAAAACATTAGGGTCGTGTGCAAAAGAAATATACCTTTTTACCTGTGTTTTCTTATATATACCTGTTTGCATCCTCTGTAAAGTGCCGTGTGCAAAAAACTTACCTATGCATTGTGACGTCATTCACTGTATAAATACAATGTGATTATGACGTCACACATTTTCATTTACAGTCTAGACAACCTATAGTCTAGCCAGCCTAACCAGTTTGAACTGAATTTTTTACTGAAAGACAATAACAAATAACACACAATACAAAAAACATGTGTGTGTGTTATGTCTGTCAAGTTATTACACCAGGTCACTTTTTTTAAAAACTTAGAATTTCTTTTTAAATTTTTTAAACTTTTTTTTTAAAAACTTATAATTTTTTTTTTTGGTAAACTCCCCTTATAGTTTTTAAGAAATAAAATAAAAAAAAATCATGTAATACTACATCAGTGTTATGTTATTGTATGACTTCATCTTTTATACAGTCGGGTTCGGGGTTTCGGGCGGCCATGGCGAATTTTCGGCAGGATTTTACCCCAGTGAAAAAGGCTTGTAATCCACAGTGTAGGTCGTTTAAAGTTGTTTCACATTGTTTATGATTGTGATTTTGTTATCGCTCACCTATATGTTTAATGTCAGCTATGCTAAATAACCCATTTCTGTGTAATTTGAGAGAATGTTTTTGCCATGTGGTTAAAGTATGGCGTGCTATTTATGTTATCATTTAAAAAGTCGATCCTAAATAAATCTGTCTTAAAAAATACATTTTACCAATGACATTTAATATGATTAGAGTATAGGTATCCATATATAAGAGATATTATTTTGCATTACATTTAAACATGTTTTTCTGTCCTGTTTGTCTGTCAATTGTTGCTTTACTTCCTTTGTAAAATGAGGTTAAATTGAGTATCACTGAATATTGTATGCTTTTTTTCAGGATCAGCTAAGATGTTATTTCACTGGATTATTTAATTGGGCATATAATTGGATAATTCTGGTAAGTTTGTCTTTGTTTTGTTTACATTTATGATGGACATCTTTGCATTTAATCATGATTATGTAAAGTTCTGTTTTGAATGTAAATGTACTGTATTTATCCTCATTTCATGTGATTTACACTTGTTTAGCCTGCATGTAACTCAGAGTGCATTTAATATTTCTATGATGGATCATTCCATGATATTGAATTTCAATCAGAAAAATATTCACTAAATTTTGATAAAATACATGGTATCTTTTACATTTCTGTCCCTTTTGTCTGTAAATTATTGCTTTACTTACATTGTAAAATGAGGTTAATTGTGTATCACTGAATTGTATGATTTTGTTTCAGGATCAGCTGAGATGTTATTTCACTGGATTATTTTATGGATATACTTATTTGGCATTTATTTTGTTATCTCTGGTAAGTTTGTCTTTGTTTTGTTTACATTTCCTATGATGGTCATCTTTGCATTTAAGCATGATTATATGGTCTGTGTAATACTTATGTGATCTGATATCTCTAACTTACATTCATATAAGCACACCCTTATTTAACCTAAAATATATTAACACATGATTAATGGAATTTCGGAATATTAATAAGTCCTTTTGTATAAATTATATGATTTAATTTCATAATTCATTATGTATGTTACCCATGGAATTAAGACTTACTAAATGGTGATCAAAGAGATATTAATTAGGAATCTAATAAGAGAAAAGGAGGAATTTACAAAATATTAATCCTAAGTTATTTACTTTTTGTTTTGATTCTAAATATGTGGGATATATGGCATACATATATTTTCATTTTCACTTTTGTTTCTTAGTAATGAGCTTTTCAAAAAATTAAGGCTTACATGTTGTACTTTGATGATGCTAAAAAAGATGTATTTTTCTGTATGCAGTACTGACAGATATTAAACAAAATTGAATCTGCTGTTAATAAAAAATCTTTTAGTGTCTAAATAATTAATTTGATAATCATTTTATTTGTGATATTAATACAGTAATTGTGCTTTTTTTTTATTATCTAAAGATAACATGATGAACTTTCTAAAAACAATTTTTTTTGAGATTAAAAACAAACATTTTCATGAACTTTTTTGGCATTGTACATGTTTGTTCAATTTTTAAACATGCATTGTTTCACACAGTACTCTGTCATATTAACAAAATGGTTTTATTTTCTATACAGTCCTCAACATGGAAGATATGTATTGTTCCTAACCATCTATAATCCATTCTCTATGAAGTTCAGACTGTCTGCTCTTCCTTTGGAAATACACAGTTAGTCAACCAACATAGAAACACACAAACTTGAAGGTAAAGTTTCAATGAGATACAATTGTAATATATATTTATTTATTATTTTATTATTTTTTTTTTACATATGCATGTTTATAATTTTGAATTGATATGTAAATGATATATTTAAATAAAAAGGGCTTGGTGGTCATGGTCATTTTTAGACTATATTGATCTCCTTTTAGAAGAAGAAGAAGAGCTCCATTTCAATATATATACAAAAATGCATGATCAAATTTTGAAACTAAAATGTATGAAAGTTTTCTTTGCCAAATGATAGTTAACAGCTGAAGATAGCATATCTATAGAATAAGTTAAATATGGCTAATTTGTAACCCCCCCCCCCCCCCCCAGCTTCCTTAATATCATAGTTGGTAAAGATAGCAAGTTTTGACTCCAATTGCTGATGAATTCTGAATTTCCCATTTAATATTAACATTATATCACAGGGAAAGAATACTATAATGTAGCACATCAGGATGACCAGAAAAGAAATCTTAATGACCCTCTTGACTATGTATAAAGATTGTAACCTTATAACTGATGTAAGATGATCTGATTGTGTGGAAATAAAATTTCCTGGTGTTTCTACTACCCAAGATCTTCTTATGAGTGTATGGGACTGTTGTAAACCTTATCCTGTTTATAAAAATAATACCTTGGAGCATGACACTTTATTCATAAAAGGTACTTTCAATATCATTTCTATGAGTTTGTGTTCTTTCTTTTTAATAATGTAGTAATGAATCCAAGTGTTATATCTCCTTTAACCTCATTAATATGTATGCTTCCAAAATCTTAGATCTGTCTGTATAGTTTTTTCAGCTCTTTGAACACAAATACCCTGATTCAATCTTTTGAGGTAAACATCCTAGAGACATCATAGATGATTATCAGAGTGTATATATCACAATCTTGACCATAAGGTCAATTTAAATGGTCAAAGGCACAACAAATGAAAGTGAAAACTTTTTTTTTTTTTTTTTTTATCAGAATACATAATTTTGTAATAAACAAACACTGGAAAGTTACTCTCATAATGAGCCTTAATGTCTTCCAAGAGTTCAGTTTGGACTCCCTCCATTAATCCTTGTATCTTCTCCAATGGTTTTGTGGGCTAAAATTCATGTGTCTTTAACAACATTTTTTTACTGACAACTGTTTTCTCTTATCATCTATAAACTTGACTTCTTCTTCTCTAGTCAAAGGTCTTTCAGGGTAATCCAAGTAATTCTTACCTTCTTTTGGTAATAAATGGTTGTATTCTTCATTGGGCTCTTCTTCAATCAAGGGTCTTTCTATGTAATCTCTGACAACATTAGGATCACCCTTTTCTGGACATAACTGGTTATATTCTTCTTGAGAAATGATCTCAATAATGCTATCTTTTTTTTTTATTTGAACTGGTATACCTCTGTCTACATCTTTCTCTAATCTCTCTCCAAACTGAATTTTACTCATTCCTTTACTCTTTTCTTTACTAGAGGTGTTACCCATGGTTAATATGAAAAGTTCAAAATCTTATGTTACAAATTTTCTATTTATACCCTTTTTGTCTATATTTAGAATTCCATCAAGCTTATATTACATTGAAAAAAATTTTAACTAAGATATTATTTTTTATTATTTTTCAGGATTCTCTAGTGAGGGCTTATGGAAATGATCTATATCTACTCTTAGAATGGTGAAAGACTATCAGATTATGCAAAGACTAACAGAATATCCTCTCTTGGAACACTGAAACAAGAAAATCAAACAGGAGATGGATGGAGGATTTAAGAAGAACAGAGATAAATATAATTTCCAACGAATTTAACCAGTACGATCATAGACTGTGGTTTACAGGATGACAAAGTAACAGGATTGTATCATTTTACTGTCAGACACTGACTATGGATAAGATGTACCCATTTATTAAACTGAGATCTAGTCAAATCAAGTATTGAGAACATGATTTTCTGAAAGCATGAACTCTTTAAAAATTAATTCTCACAGACCTCAAAGTATCTGAATGTGACTTTTATTTTTTTACCAATTCATATTGAAGACTGTTGTTATGTATGGGAATTACACATTTAAACCTTTTATTTTTCATCTTATATCTACAACACCCCTTAGAAATTACACAGATATCCAGATGCTATATTTAATGTAGTTATTACTTTCCTGGAAATGTAAATATATTTTATTTGTGTATATGTGTGTATTGTGGCCTATAATGAAATTTAGAAATTGAAATATGTAAAGGTCCCTTAATATCCCACATCAAGATGTAGGTGCCCAATAATCTGTGATGCAATAATATCTTGAATATTATTTATCATCTCATACACTTCATATGCTTACTACACATATCAGGTTATAGTAATACACATAGTTTTATAGGATAATTTGTCATGGTCAAAGCATGAGATTATTGAGATGACTACATTTGAAAATAATTTGTAACATACAAACTTCACATCATTAGTAAAAAATGAATAGGAGATTTTCTATAGATTTTTGGATCATTTACTCCTGAGTAAAAGTTAGTTCCTGAGATTACTGATATGAATCATTTAATGCAATAACTTCAAAATTGTGTGATAACTTATAGACTTTATAAAAATTAGGTGTAAATTCTTAGGAAAGAATTAAAATATTAATCAAATGTACAATGTCCAAGGGTGTTTATTTAAATATTATTATGTAATATCTTGGGTTTCTGTTTATTTATCATATTCAAATTGAAGACAGTTGTTATGTCTGGTTATTATACATTGGATCCTTTATTTTTAATTTCTACAACCCCCTAAAAATGACACAGATATTCAGAAGCTAGCTTTGGTGTATTTTTTTTTTTTTACTTTCCTGGAACTGTAAATACATTTTGTTTGTGTTTGTCCTATTTTGAATTTAATAGGTCTCAATAAGACCCCTCCCCCCATAAAGATGCATGTGTCCTATAATCTGTGATAATATGTTGAATATTTTTATTATTCCATAAATTTTATTCTTACTACACATATAGTGTTTGGAGTAATGCACTTAGTTGTATAGGACAATATTCAAGGTCAAAGCATGAGATTATTGAGATAACTACCTTTGTCAATTATTTGTAACCTTCAAACTTTACATCTTAAGTGAAGAATGGATAGGAGATTTTCTATAGATTTTTGGATCATTTTCCTACAAGATAATATTACTGACTTGAAACATTTCATGGTGATTTACATACCTGCAGTCATAAATAGATACATGTAGGCATGGGGTAGACTCCTATAGATTTTAAGATCTTCATTCAAAAGTATGGAAAGTTTTTAAGTTTGAAAGATTAAATGTCAGCATATCATTTGCTTGTGAATTTAAAATAAATTCAAACATATACATCTTTAGATGATAACTAGTTATTTCAATTCCTGGACTTTCTGTCTTGATATTTTCCTTTATTATCTGTAAAATTTAATGATTGCTTTTTAGTTTAGTTGAACTAGTTTCTTATTAGCATGTGAAAATGGCATCATCCAAATAAGTTCATCTACATTTTATATGTAGGAGAGAATTTTTCATCACAGGGAAAGAAAGAGATTGTCTTGTATAATATAATGCATTGGTACACAAAAATATCTTTCAATTTCTAACATGTTTCATTTTTGTTACGTGGAATAAGTTCTGTTGATTTCCTACCAAAGACATACTAGTACAGTAATAAATGTATATGATGTGTCAAAAAAGCATGTGGAAACCTGATAACTTTATCATTTCTGATTAAAAATCAAATTATGAGTTTCATCTCTGTTACATTATTTAAAAAATTCTAAGTAGGGCACACACCAGAAACTCTTAAAATTATTATATCAGGGTTTAACACAACAATTCCAAATGATTTTTGAACGCTTTTTTATGTATCAAAAAGACAAAACAGAATATTTGTTCACAGATGTTCCAAAGGAAAACAAACACAAAGAAATGATTTGTAATGTTCTTTATGTGATTCATGTAAAATGTATTTTAAAAAGTATACTCTAACGTTTATATTTTGCATAAATAACTTTTTGTGGAGAATTTTTCATAACTTTGAAAAAACTAGTCGTATTGTGTAACATGGTTCGCCTAAAATCTTGAAGACTTTATAGTTGTACATGATGTGTTACACATCTTACATAATTAACCATTTCAATGCAGGGTATTCAGCATATATTGTGGTTTTGTCTTAAATTTGTTTGTTCATGTAATCAATAATTTGCTAATACTCAAATTAGGAAATATATGAGAGAATAAACAAGAAAATCAGGTTTAAAAAATGTTTTTACTACAAAGGGGTTAATCTATATATTGAATCTATAAGTACATTTAGTCTATACATTTAAGGTATTTTTGTATGAAATAAACTTACATTTGAGCATTTTTAGACAATTGTTAACATTACTTGAACCAGTTTTAAAAAAATGATTAGATTCACTGTCAGCATGTTATTTCATATAAAATAAATGAGAAAACAATTTTATTTGAGTCAGTTTTTTTTTAATGTAAATAAAAAAGCATTGGAAGTTGGGAATATTTCACAAAGTTGATTGAGCATAATTCTCACTAGGACAGTAGTATTATGATTTAAGCATTAAAGAAACCATTTCGTATTTCAATATACAAACCATGTTTAGTCAAGCAGTATATAGTTTACTCTTGCCAAAAAGTAAATGGTATCTCTATTCAGGGTCAATCCAAAGGTCAAAAAGAAATGAAAAAAAAATATTTCTCTTTATGTATCAAACATGTAGGTATTATTTCAATAAATTCACTCTATTCATTTTTTGTTCTCTTTCTATGTATGAATATCTCTGATTTAGGCAATCAAAATACAAAAAAGCCAATGAGTTATGTCAAATGATAAAGGTATACACCAGAAATTAACATGGACAGAGAATTCTGAGTTTCCCTCAAATATGGCCGCCAAGTGATGTGAAATAAAAACAAAATGTGGATTCATCTATTAGGATTGAGACTTGTACATATTATGAATGATGGGTACTATGACATTAAGAATGACATGAAAGAAATAAGTTCGATTCAATTATATGAACAGTTCTTAATCCATACAGTCAAAATGGAAGAAATATTTTACTTTATAGGCATAAAGTAACAAACACTTACCCAATGCATCAAAATTTTACTTTTTGAAGAAAAGGAACCTTACTTACTTTGTTGAGTTGACATATTTTTTGTTTGACAGGTAGACTAATAGTTTCTGACTAGTATAATGAGAACTTTTTATTTAAGAGTCCTCAGATTATTCTGATATTCTGGTTAAGATATCTGTATGACATCAATTAATTTGTTCATACAAAGGGATAAAAGCTTTTTTCCAGGTTTCCTCTTTACTCAGATTAGATTGTGTCTTGTTAATATATCCAACATATAAGATACTCATCAAAGTTACACAAAAGGTAAATAAATGACCTTATTAAGTTTTTAGTCAAAAGGTCAAAGTGAGGAGGACATCTGCTAAATTTAATTATTTAGTTAATATTCATCAATGGATAGGTTAATTAAACAAACTTCATATATTTTTGAATTTTTAGGTTAAAGATCAGCACAATTTTTTGCTATACCATTGTTTTCCATGAATATCTTAACACCTCACTTTTGACTTTTCAGGTTAAAGGTCAATGTATTCCTACTACATTAAAATCTTCATTATTTAAGGATCTCAGAGTGATATTTTTTTATTTGTAAGGAATTAGGTATAAAATCTCAGACTCTTTCTATAATATGTCACTGAATGGGCTTCTTCATTTTAGAGAGTTTTACGAGCAAAATCATATACTGACTTTCAATCCTTCAAAACACAATATGTATATTTAAATCTTGAGATTCAGACTTTTTCAGACTTTTAGGTTTTCAGACTTTTAGGATTTCAATTTTAAAAACTTTCAGACTTTTAATCTTTTAAAACTTTCAATCTTGAGGACTGAGTATTTTTGATATTCATTTGGTATGCCATGTCTTTTAAATCATTACCATTAATCCTTAGTCATTCAAACTTTTCATATATGTAATACCAGAGTGTGAAAGTAACAGTGTATGTGCAATCTTCTTACTGTTTATCTAAAATTACTGATTTTAATACAGTCAAATAAAATTTTCTGATGATGGAAATTTCCAAAACTGTCTGACTTATACATATTTAAAGTTCACACTGTTGAATATCCATAAATATCAAAATATAATGATTCAGCATTAGCTATCATTCATACACTTGTTGAAATTCCTCATGCAATTTTGAAGAATCTCTGTTCTAAAGGATGCTAAAGACAAAAGATCCATACATTTCCAAGTAGTCATAATGTTTTAAAACTATATGTATCCACATTAAATTAAGGAACATTGGACCCCCCCCCCCCTTTTTTTTCCTTTATAACTCATGACATTTCATGTAGATAGTGGGTATGATGTGTAAAATAATCTTTTTATGAAAAGAGGATGGTGTAAAAGTTACTCTTACCCCACACCCAAGGGGAGTAGGGAAGGGGGTTGAATCCCTTTCTTTTTGTCCAAGGAAAACCTGAATTTTAAAGATTAAACATAAGTTATCAAACGAATTAAATTAATAAAATTAATTTATTTTCTAAAAGTTTCTTTTTTAAATCTGAACATTTAAATTTTTTTTCCTTTTGATTACCAGACTGTCTAATAGGTGAACTGTATAAAACTGAATACAGATCATTTTAAAGTCTTGCATTTTTTATGGCAAATCATTAAATAATGGGATAATATATATATAAACCTCACCCATACATAAACAGGAGTGAAACTGAAAAGCCATGCAGGTTTGCATTCTTAATCTTATTTTTTGTTTACTATATGTATGACTTGTACCACTCCAATTGAATAAATAAATAAATTAAAAAAAAATAGGCTTTCCTCTCCTTAAGTTTTCTGTAACCATTAGCACACTCTCAAAAATACAGCACCTTTTAGAAAAAAATTATGGCTTTTTTTTTTTCCTGTTTTATGTTAGACAGACTTATTTTCTATGAAACTGTGTTCATGTGAAATTGA